TCTGTCTCATGACATTAAAAAATGTACAAGATCCTCTGAGTATAAAAGGTATGCAGTTCTTAGTACTTAATTTGACTATTACAGCATTTTTGCAAACAGGTATGTCAGTGAGTATAACTTTAGGAGTGCGCTACAAATCTGTAGATAGAAAGCAAATGTGTTAAACATAAGCGTAAGAGTTCTGCCCAAAATCAATGTGAGAGCTAAACTCACGTTTTGATTGACAACTTACCCATTTTGATTTCATCTAATCAAGAGCTATGAGGCCCACATATGTGAAAACTGATGCTTTACAATAACCATTTTGATATGACTTTCTGATTTGTATGAGCTACGTACATTTATAAAATGATTCTACACCTTAACAAACAATGTGGAACAGTAAGAAAGACAAACCATATGAAACCCTAGTGCCAGTCTGAGAGCTGATAAAGCGATAACAACCATGATTTTCTTTATATACACCATCATCCATACGACAAATGGATTTGCATCACTGCCTAATCACAACATCTGATCAGGGGGTCTATCTCGAATGAATCTCATCGTGGCCACGCATGACACCACATAACTGTGGTTTTAGACACAGACACATCAACTCATCTATTGCAGGAGCACCTCATAATCTGAATGCACAGGGCTACTCCAAAAGTGTCTTTGATAAAATGTTCCTTTGCCCAGGGACTGTCTTCAGCTGACAAGTATCTGTGGGGGTGGTGACCTTTCAAAGGGACCTGGGTGAGTTGGAGCATTCTACACTAACAGGGATGGATTCTTCTTTGAAGTATTTAATGAAGTCTTACACTATTATCTCCTATCCATTGGCCATCCAAGCCTCCAGTACATCTAGCCGCTTTTTATTCTCAGCACTGTTTATTTTCCAGATAAAACAACCATAGTGCAAACACAGGCAGTGAGTAGACGGCAAGGAGCAGCACAGGAAAGAACTAAGTTCAAATCGTAATTCAAAAAACATTGGTCAAGACAAAGGCAGCAGGTGATGGAAGAAAGCAATTTGGAGAATGTAGTCAAATCCAAAAAGCATGAGAAAAAGCAGAATCCTATGACTCAGACGACAGTTGTAAACATGACAGGGAACTATATCGGAAGTAAGTGTTGCTCAGTATGGTGGAATATCTTGCAACAAGTTAACTAATTTACTTATTTAGTAAATGAGCTCATGAGTTTCAAGTGTGTTAATATTTTGGTGAGGTGGAGTGTGGCCATTCTGGACATGGCTGAAATGAGTCCTGGCTGGATGCTGGTGCAATACAAACAACTCAACAGCCAAAGTGTATTTTTTTCCCTTTTTATTATTGTTTTTCTGCAGATTTTTATTTGCACTCTCCATGCTCTCCAAACTTAATTGCATTCTACAATAAAACTCCAAATGAGAACTTTTCTCATCCTATAAAATGCTCTAGTACTTCTGTCAGCTTCAGTGAAGTTTTCCATTATTTTCAAACGCATGCCAGCAATGTCATTGTAAAAGCCATTACAGGTGCACAACAGAATGTGGTCTGGAGTCCTTCATTTGCGTCACTGTCTCTTTAATTAAGGAAGTTTGGGAAAATCAAAGGAACAGACTTAACATCATCATAGACCCCTAATGCATAGTGACATCTGCCCTTAAGTGCTGATTGAGGCCAGGAATAATATAATGTTATGCTTCCTTCAGAGCATTTGCCGCTACTTATAACTTTGTTTACCTGGAGTTGGGACCAATTTTGGAACAATCATCTATCAGCGACCTGGCACAGGCCGTGTTGCTTGACAGACATACACCTTGCTGTTCGATCTGGCAGAAGCATTCCCCCTGTGTTTGCTTTGGTGCGTAGACGTTTGGGGAGTTTGGGGCCACTGGTCATCTGCAGTGCTGAAGTGATTTATTACATTACTACATTACTGCTGTACTATATTTGTGAGCAGATGGCACTGAGGAGGGAATGGATCACCTCCTTGGGTTTTAATGTTGCGAGATGATCAGGATGTCACACCATATGAGTAAATTATCCAGCTATACAATTGCATGATATATACATCAATTGGCATACATAATACACATTGGTAACTTTGATAATAGCATTTTATTTATTATTAAACCCTGCCAAAATAAGTTTGCCTTCACCATGACCACAGTTGTTTTTGATTTGCCTCTGGGCTCTTTTTTTTATTAGCTTCACTCATTGCACTCTGGCCATATCCTATCCATTTTGTTCTCGAATCTGATGATCAATGGCCTACAGAAACCACAAGGGTGACAGCCGGGGAAGCCCTGGTACGTATTCTTATCCGCTTAGACAAAATCAAAGCAAGCTGTACTCACAGAAATGTGTGATATAAAGGAATGCATAACCATGAGCTCTTTTTTCTGCTTGTATGTCACAGTGAGAGGAGCAGGAGTGGCAACCCTGAAGCACAGTCAGGTGACTGGGGTTATTTGCCTCAGTTGTCTGACTCTGTAATAGTATAGTAATAGTATGTGTTCTGATTGTTTATTTGTTCCCCCCAGATTTAAATTCCATACCTCTTGCTTAATTGAAGCAGCTGTTTTTCATGTGCCCCTTTGTTGGGTTGAATCCATCCCTGCTCAGCCCCTGTAAACCCCAGTAAAACCATTAACCTGTATCACCTGGTTCTGTTTGCCATTCTGACCTGTATGATTCTCACAACCTCCTCACAACCCCAATAACAAATCATATCACGTGCTCCCTGAACTGTTTCCTGGGTGATTTAATTAGAAGTGCAGTCAAGGATTTGAATGTTGTCCTGAGGCACAAATGAGATAAAGAAAAGTAAGAGTATGCACATCAGCGTAATGACCAGACGAACGGGTTTTCAGGAAGCTACACAAAACGAAAACAGAACAAAATCAGTGCCGATTACAAAATGCAGAGTAAAAGGAAAGTTTATATATACGTATTTCCCCTGCATTAAGTACTCAAACATGCATGTGTGTCTTCAGAGTTTTGTAATTCAGATCCTGAGAGTACAATTCCAGACTGGGCTTTTGTTTCAACCAACCAGTTCAATACTCTCTGACTGTGACTCTTTATGCTCAACTGGTTGGTTGAAACAAAATCTTGGTCTGGACTTTTACTCTCTTTCAAGTTAAAAGTCCTTCTTTTTGCATACTTAGTCAGTCATAAATATGACTAATTTAAAACTGCTAGAGCCAATTTGCAATAAGTCTTTCAGGTTCCTATGATGCTGAAGACTGAACCAATATATGTCCTACTTGTTGCATAATGTTATACATTTTTAGAAGAATGCCCTACTATCACACAGGCCGGAATTCCACTTTATATGAGCAGCAGCAGCTAAGGCTGTAATCTAGAGAATCTATTGGGAAGTGTTCCACCTACAGTACACCAGTAAGTGTCTATAAAAGTCATATTGTCCTCTGGAGACAGATCGTTACACCCTAACCTGTATTTTTTGTTACGAAAATAATATAATTCAGATATATGAAATCTGAGGGGCAACATGGTGGTGCAGTGCTTAGCACTGTTGCCTCACACCTCTGGGACCAGGATTCAAGTCTCTGCCTGGGTTACATGTGTGTGGAGTTTGCATGTTCTCCTCTGGGTACTCTGGTTTCCCCCCCCCAGTCCAAAGACTTGCTGAGGCTAATTGGAGTTACTAAATTGCCCATAGGTGTGCATGTGTGAGTGTGCCCTGCGATGGGCTGGCCCCCTGTCCAGGGTTGTTCCCTGCATCATGCCCTTTGCTTCTGGGATAGGCTCCAGAACCCCCACAGCCCAGTAGGATAAGTGGGTTGGAAAATGGATGGATGGATATACAAAAACTATGAAGCCCTTTACAAAGAAAGATTGTGCTTTACAATTGCCAACCTGGGATGTGCATTTGGCTGTGTTGGGTGGGCACTGTGTAAAATATAGTGCTGTATTTACAATTTAAAGTGCTTTAGAAACACTACAGTGGTTTTTATTTTGACACTGGTCTTGGTGTTGTGGGAATATGGGTCTGACATGTCCATTTAGGGGTGTTTGTTTTTATGGTGTCCATTAAAAAAAGCCATAGGCAGCTGTATTTCGAATCCAGTGTTCCTTACTGGATATGTGCCTAACCCCCACCCCCATGCCTTGGGGGGGGGGGGCGTTACTGATGGTAAAGGTCGTTGACCTCAGTACAGCGGGCAGGCAAGGAAGGGGATAAAATGAATTGCTTATATTTGGTTTGTCTCTGTTGAGCATATGTTTGGACCCGCCCCCTGCCCACCTGTATTGGTGGATAGATGGTTATATTTTTCTTCAGCAGGTTTATTATCCAACTCAACGGCGTGGTAGTAAGACCCGTCTGAGGGCCTAAAGTGATTATGGCCTCACCTGCCCTGCTACCTGCACTTTTACAGGAACCCAGTCTGCTCTCACCTCTTTAAAGGAGATCTTCCCTTTGAACAAGGGATGAACTGTCTGCACCAAGCTTCTAAAAGTCCCTGGCTCTCTCCGCCAGAGCAGGTACAAGAAGTCCATGAGGTCGTACCCAGGCAGAACGTGCAGCCGGGACTCTCGTCTCCTCCTGGCGTCCCGAGTGCTTGGAATTCAGCCAGCAGAGAGCGGCCCCTGTTCGCGGGCGCCTGTTGTCTCAAAGCGTTATCTCTTTTAATGAAGATTAAACAGCCTGAATCAGAGGTGCAGACAGCAGAGATGAGAGGGATTGAGACAGAGGACAGGGGGAAATTGGATACTCCTGTAGGGAGCTGTAGAATCTGGTCCAAAATTAAGCCAGATTGAGGAACATAATGGATGACCAAATTGTCTTAAGTAGAAAAGCGTTACTGCCAAGCCAACAGAACTGATAACAACAATAAAATAACATGAAGCGAAGGAGCATTTTCCAAGTAGTGTGTCTGTTTCATAAGTGCAAAGTACACAACGCAGTCTTAATTGTTCATTATACTTCTGTAATGTCTGCAGGTGTTCCTTACAAATTATATTTATTGATAAAATGTAATATGTTACACATAAACTGTGTCTTCATTTATAAATTAGCCAATTCAGAACAAGCATACATTTTTGTTATACATTTTTGTCATGATTTGTTATAATCATTAAATAGAACACATTGAAGCTCATTTATGAGTGAAACTAGCTGAATATGCTAGTATGTTCTAGCATTCATTATAAATCAAACACTTAATATTAATTATAGTTTTACATTCTGTCTAATAGCTTGTAATTCTTTTTCAAGAACATGAATCTGTATTTTAATAAATGGTTAGAACATCTGCAATGGGATGGGAAGGCTGCCCATCTTGGGTCATTCCTGGCCTCGCACCTGGAGGTTCTGGGTTAGCCCCCGGACCCCCATGACCCTGTGTAGGACAAGAAGGTACAAAAAATGGATGGATGGATGGATGGATGGATGGATGGCTAGAACAATTCAGTAAAATGAAACATTTCAGTAGTTATAATGGGTTATAACTTTTTCTTGAATTGCTAGATTCTCTCATTTACGAGAGAATCATGCTGTATTCATGCTCTATATAATTTCCTGCTATATTATTTTTGGGACCTGTGGCTTTCTTAACTGTTTAGTAATAGGACTGAGTATCAGTAAGAAACAGTAAGAAATGCATGAGAGACTCTTAACCTTTAAAGCAACCTAGACCATGTTGCAAAAATGACCTTTTATTGCCACAGAGAGCTCAGCTCAGAAGAAATGTCCTGTGGTAGCAGCTCCTGACAGGAGGGATATGAGGCTGCTGAAACGGCAGACAGCCCTGGGAATGAGCCCATCTCCACGCGTCTCCTGCATGTCCCCAGCCCCTGGCAGCCGCAGATTGTGGTGACAGAGAGAGAGAGTGAGAGGCTGGTATCCAAGACAAGATTACCTGGACGGACTCAGGGAGAAAACAGACCAGAACAACAAAGTTTGTTTCAGATGGTTGGGAAAATTCACAGCATATAAATATATGTTTGTGGGTGTGTGTAAATTTCTTATTATATAAATGATTGATAATGATTTATAACATACAAAACAATGTACATGTACTTATCTATTGATCTTTCACCCACTTGTCCAGTATGGAGTCACAGGGGCCCTGATGTATTGTGTTTGCACCTGTATCCCAAGCCACACAGCTGGTTAAGGGCTTTGCTTAGGGGCCCAATGGCAAAATCACTTTGCCAGCTGTGGGATTTAAACCACCAACCTAATGAGCACAGAATCCTAACATAGTGAGCCAAGAATCAACCCTGGAAACACCTTGGGTTCACATCTATGGGGAATCAGGAGGCGCCAGTTAGCCAAACTGCACTTCTTTGGACTGCAGGAGGAAATGCACACATCACAGGGAAAAGATGCAAACTTAGCCCACGCATTGCAGGGGTAGAAACCCAAGGGGAGGTACAGAACAGGGCAACCCACTGAACCTACTATTATGTAAGGATCATAAAGACGGAGATGATCTACACATTTAGCTTCAATAAAAATATTTAAATAGATACATAGAGTATATGTATAGATATATGAACAGTACATGTGTAGATATATGAACAGAAGTTAATCCCAGCCTCTAGAAGGTTAGATCTTTTGGTCTAGAATTCTGCCTTGGCCATAACCCAGAACGTCTGACATTAATTGGATTTTAACCTGTAGAGAGTAAAGCAAAAAGCTTAATGAGCAAGTCAAAGTGAAAAATATGGTAATAACAGACAGATAAATTTGAACTATTGGAATAAAAATTGGACTCTTATCTTCAGCGGTGATGAATGACATCTGGGTTCTAGAGTGATGAGTGGGAATAAGACTCAGAGAGATCCAAAGTAATTTCTGCACCTGGGGGAGAGTCATACTGTCTTTGAGTTTTAAAATGTATCAGTTGTGAACTATTCGGCAAAGGTGATTTCAATGTTACGTACAGTTGAGGAAGCATAAATTGGAAAGTGGCTTTTTTTTCTCCTCCTGCCATTGCACTGCACAGGGACCGAGGCAGCTGTCACCTATAGTTGGCCACTGTGACATGATGTGTGGGTCAATCATTTAGCGTGAGCCCCACAGCCCTGCGTGATGGAGTACCAGTGACTCCTGTATTGTGCTTATTGTGTTCTATTACTGGGGGGGAGGGGGTGCAGGTTGAAAAGGCAGAGTCTGACGTGCATTAACACTTTACGTTTGGCAGATTAGTGCCGAGTTCCCCTGATCATGCCCCCCCCCAACCCAAGCTGCCCTGTGCAGGGGGGCAAGGCTATTGGCCTACAGAAATTACTTTCGGTCAAGAACAGAATGAAGCAAATCAGGGGAAAAAGAAAAAAAAACAATCCATAATGGTCTGATTGTGCTGAACAGAATGGAATGGTTTCTCGCGAACTGGTGTGATTGTAGAAGAAACTTGAGGACACAGACCAGCATCACAGCTGGGTAATTGCTGCAAAGCACCAATTACATTAGGACCCATTATCTGTCACGGCTTGAGTCATCTGAAATCTAAGGACAGCTACAAGCACATTATGTTCATGATGGATTTAACGCAATAAAAGCTCTCTAATGTTTTCTTGTGTTTCCATCACAAAGAGATGCTGAATAGTATCACACTGACCTCTGGGCCCCTACGTGACTTACATTATCTATTGTATGATGTCATTTTTGTTCATACATAGATTATACACTGTCATGTATTTACATGTTCTATTTCCATGTAATTAATAGCATGGAAAAATATTCAGCATTTGGTAAACAAACCATCCAAGAAAAATAATGTGGGAGAAGAAAGCAACCAAGGGACACTGAAACATCTCGGATTCAACCTGTGACATTTGAAGGTGTTTCATATTCATGACTGGGTTTTACAAAACCAACTGAAGTAAGTCAGGTACAGGGCATTCTGTGAATCCCAGTTACATTATAAACCACATTCTGCAACAGTTGGAGACATTTCAGAGAAGCATTTCATCAGAAGGAGAAGTACTTAGTTTTATATTCGTTTTATTTATGCATGGATGAGATTTCCACCATCACACGAAGACCTTTTTTTTTACTTCAGCTATATTCTGCATCTGAAACAAAAGGCCTGCAGAGATATTTCCAGTTTTGAGTATCATACATCCTGATCCCGATCATTTGGAACAGAAATTATCACCTGTTCCATTCTCATAAAGTACACCCGAGAACCATAGGGCTTGCCAGCAAAATCTGTCTTAATCAGCAAGAGGCAGTTCTGTGTCATCTAAACTCTAATGACCTTCAGGCAAGCTTCCAGTTAAGGACCGTGTCATACTTCTAAGTCTGAGCTCAGTTTTCATCAGCAGAGATGCAGCAGTCAATGCCATGGTTGGTAAAAAATATATATATATACTGCAAAGAAACAGCATACGCAAAGAGATGTGCACCACAGAGGAAGCAGAAGGTCCATCCTTTGCTATACAGGTAAAGAGTAAGTCAGTGGTGATTAAGTTTTGTAATGTGAGACAATATTTGTAGCATACCAAACCCAGATATACAGAATATGACATACACAGATGTGTCACAAGCCTGGGACATTCCAGGCTTGAAGCCCTGAATGGATCCAAACAAGCCGTGAATGATTTGTTTAGCTAAAAGATTTGAACAACCTTTCCCTCAATTTGAGAACTGGGGCTACGGCTCGGATGCTTTAAGGTCCTATCAGCTCCTCTGGACATACACTATATTGCCAAAAGTATTGGGAGATCTGCCTTTACACACACATGAACTTTAATGACATTTCATTCCTAATGCATTGGCTTTAATATGGAGTTGGCCCACCCTTTGCAGCTATAACAGCTTCTGGGAAGGCTGTCCACAAGGTTTAAGAGTGTGATTATGGGAATTTTTGACTATTCTTCCAGGAGAGCATTTGTGAGGTCAGGCACTGATCCCACAGGTGTTCTATCGGGTTGAGGTCAGGGCTCTGTGCAGGCCAGTCAAGTTTCTCCCCACTAGACTTGCTCATCCATGTCCTTATGGACCTTGCTTTGTCCACTGGTGCGCAGTCATGTTGGAACAGGAAGGGGCCATCCCCAAACTGTTCCCACCGAGTTGGGAGCATGAAATTGTCTAAAATGGCTTCAAATGCTGCAACATTAAGAGTTCCGTTCACTGGAACTAAGGGGCTAAGCCCAAGCCCTGAAAAACAACCCCAAACCATAATCCCCCCTCCACCAAACTTTACACTTAACACAATGCAGCCAGGCAGGTTCCGTTCTCCTGCCGACTGCCAAACCCAGACTCGTCCATCGGATTGCCAGACAGAGAAGCATGATTCGCCACTCCAGAGCACTCATCTCCATTGCTCAAGAGTCCAGTGCTTTACATCACTGCATCTGACGCTTTGCACTGCACTTGGTGATGTAAGACTTGGATGCAGCTGCTCGGCCATGGAAACCCATTCCATGAAGTTCTCTACACACTGTTCTTAAGCTAATCTGAAGGCCACATAAAGTTTGGAGGTCTGCAGCTATTGACTCTGCAGACAGTTGGCAACTTCTGCACACTGTGCGCCTCAGCATGCGTTGCCCCCGCTCTGTGATTTTACGTGGCCTGCTACTTCGTGGCTGAGTTGCGGTCGTTCCCAATTGTTTACACTTTGTTATAATACCACTAACAGTTCACCATGGGATATTTAGAGAGGAAATTTCGTGAACAGACTTATTGCACAGGTAGCATCCTATCACGGCACCACGCTTGAATTCACTGAGCTCCTGAGAGGGACCCATTCTTTTGCAAATGTTTGTAGAAGCAGTCTGCATGCCTAGGTGCCTGCTTTTATACACCTGTGGCTATGGAAGTGATTGGAACACCTGAATTCAATGATTTGGAGGCGTGTCCCAATACTTTTGGAAATATAGTGTATGTACTTAACTGATAAGGGCCATTTCAGGGATGTAATATCATTTGTAGATGTTATGGATTTCAAGGCCATGTGTTTCTTGAACCTTTTTAAAGACCTTTCTGAGAAATCTGAGAAATATTTTTTGAGAAGAGTGATAAGGAGCAGGATTGGGATTCAAGTCAAGTGTGTTTTATTGTTTTATTGTCCAAACATCCTTACACGGTTATAAATACAGTGGCACAAAATCAGTTTCCACAGGATTTTCCAGTTTGTGCTTAGTTCCACATACCTTTAGCTTTTTAGGGACAAGATAATGATAATTTCTAATATCTAGCATATACTTTCTAAGCAGGACTTTTATCATAAATGACGTGAGCCTGAGATCAACAATTAAGGTATTATAATTAGTGTTGTCAGTTCATCAGATTTAGCAAAACCAAATACTCAAGATATTCAATGAACGTGGCAGCAACATCAACATGCTGATTGCTGCTGAAGCCTGGCCGCACACTTTAGAATTTGTGTCTAATCTAAAGATTTTCAAGAAATTCATGAAGTAATTTACTACCTCCGTGTAAGTGGTTTGGTCAGATGTCGATGTTAGTTGACTGTAAATCAATTCAAGAATTATACTGAAGTGAAATTTCGAGGTAGTTCTGTGCCTTTCAGTTTGATTTGAGATATATATTGACCTAGTCAAAGAGATCAACCTTGCTTTAAGAACGAGGTTTTAAGACCATTATATTAGGCATAATTTTATGACCCATAATTTTACAGGGCATAATTTTGTGATTTAACTGTCTTGTCTTTTTCATAAGTACCACCATATTTTGCTGTATAAGGAGGTAGCCTTTTGGGCTTGACAATACATTGGCTTTAACCCCAGTACTGTGGAAACCAAATTAAGCAACACCAAAAGTAATAAAAATGCATTGTTTTTAAATGGTAGTGGTAGTGCTGCTGCATTAAATCTCCGTGGTTGGTGGTTCGAATCCCCCACCTGTATGTCTGTGAAGAATCTGCATGTTGTCACTGCGTCACATGATTTTCCGTGAGGTATACTAATGTCCTCCCCCAGTCCAAAGGTGTGGCATCCCTGAATTGCCTGTGGTGTGTGTCTGTATGTGTCCAAAGATGGACTGGCATCACATCCAGTGTGTGGTCCATGCTGCCTAGAACAGGCCCCAGGCTCCAGTGACAAAACTCCTAGCCCCTAGTTTAAACTTTTTTTTGTGTCACATTTTAATATTAACAAACAACATGAAAAATCAATGACATAGTGTATGCTATTTCTAATGCTATTAAAGTAGTTTTGTCAAAGGCCTGTCAAATATATTTTTCTACCAGACAGATATTTATCTGCACAAAAGAGCTTCTAATAAAATTCAAATATCAGACATTGTCTGTAATAGTGGAACAGAGAAGATTAAGATCAAAACATAGCGCTTGGTTAAATATTGATGTTATACAGTCCTTCCACAAGAATATTAAACACTTCCCTGCTATCTGATAAGGGCAAGTAATCATGTGCCGTAAAAATAATTTATTTCTTCATTTAAAACAATTAACTAACCTGAACATGGACAATTAGCCCAGAATGGCTAAAGAAAGTATGGAAGCAGGTGTGTTAGTGTATGCATGGTACATATGCATCTGTAGAAGCTTAATCAAAAGAACTGATCTGTTTGTGGGTTCCTCAGTCTTGTGCTCTATGACCTTTTATGATCTTCACACTGTAAATGTTTCATTTCTATTGTGTTCTTTAGTTTTGTCTATCTTGTAGCATAAAGAGTTTCTCCAATGTAAGATGTGATACAGGCAGTAAGAACATCCAGCAGCTCATCGACTCCAGGTACAGTACAGTTCCATATATATTTACTTTTATTATTACAGTATTATTTATTTATTTATTTTCCAAATGACCTACAAGTTTGTAAAGACAGACTTATGGATTGGACCTCGTTCTTGACCTAGGGACTGCCTGTATTGTCCTGTCTGTTTGGCACCGAACCGCAACCAATTCTGGTATATTTGTACGTGCTGGTAGTAAAGTATTCTGAGTTCTGAGCCCTGCTTAGGATAAGCTCCAGTTCCCCAGTGACCTGTACTGAATAATCAATGGAAGACGCATGGATGAATGGTCTTCTGATAACAAAGCAAGTATGCTGTGTGTGCGTGTGTGTGTGTGTGTGTGTGTGTGAGTAACAGAGGAAGATCCTCAGTATGGGCAGGGTGTCATTCTGCTGCTTTCCGTCTAAATCACCTCCTAATTGTTTACATAGTGCATCCTGTCTCAGCACCACTCGGCGACAAGTGATAGCTTTGGTAATTAGGCATTAAACTTTCATGAGGGCTGCAGCGCAGCTTTTCTCCCACATCAGTCTGAGTCCAGGGTTTTCCTCACAGGGAGAGCGGCAGATGTGAAGTCCGCCCATTGTGTCTGTGGTGCTCCATGGCCTACGAGGAAGAGCGCAACCCAACTACTGATTTATGTGATGACAGCTATGCGTCACACAGAGAGCGGCAAGGTGTCAGGACGGGCTGGGGAACGGGCCGACAGACGGCGTGACACCCTTGGGTTGTGATGCACAGCTGTCGGATCTCAGCGAGCTCAGTCGTCCGTCCTTGTAGATCTCAGAATACTTAAAATAATATCTGTTGGGTATTTCAGAGTAAATCTCTCCAAACATCAGAACAACATAAAGTGACATTAGTTGGGCAAATTGGGGTGACAGAAGTGGAAAATACAACATCAATTTAAAAAATAAATAATATTAACTACTTGCAGAATATGCAGATTCAACTGAAGGCAAGGCAGAGGAACGCCAACCTGAGTACTGTAGTAATTATGCAATAATCTGAACTTAACATACTAGACAACTAAGTAATAAATATGATATTTGGCCATTATAAGAAGGAGCACTGATGATAAAGTACCTCACACAATCCGGTGTTTTTAATCATGATCTAACTACTAATTCTAAATACACTGACACATAAAGAAAAAAATAATAAAATGCATAATTTCCATGCTGTCACCAGAATAAAGCATTAGGTAATTTTACAGTGAATAACTTACTCATCTAATGATACATTACTGTGCAGTAAGTAGATAGGCCCACCCAGGAATACCAAATACCAGTAAACTGGTTCTGGCCTCAGGATGAGCGTTCCGTGGGGTGGGTCATCCCAAAGACTGTGTGTAACAGCAGCTCCAGCTCTGGAGCTGAATACTTATCTCCTGCGTCCTCCCCTTCTGCAGAGGTAGACTGTGGGGACTTGATAGTGCTGCAGAGGAATGGATGCAGAATATTTATTACTATAGTATTTATATTACTTAATTTCGCCTAGGCTGACAATTAAGATAAGAGGAATGTGCTCTGTGGAGCAGCAGCAAACAGAGGACAGACAGGAGAGTTTCTATTTCGCCTCGCTCACCCCCCCAACCCCCCCAGAAGGAAGGCACAATGAGGGGAGTATAAAGCCCATGCATGTGTGTGTGTGTCTGTGTGTGTGTTTACTATACAATGTAAGTCATATAAGTTTATAATCCATTTTTTCAAGTATGAATACGGGTACTTGTGAATTCTTCAGTTTTTGCATATCCCGTCTTGCTCTCCTTCTGTGACACATATACCGGGAAGGTCAGCTATTTAGCCGGTGACGCATGGAGATACATATTTCAGATTTTAAACCCAGCCGAAGATGGCCAATGTGTGTGTGTGTATGTGTCTGTGTGTATCTCGTAGGTTTTTTATTCACCATTTACATGATCCATCCATCCATCTTTCACTGGATTAGTTTGCAGAAAAATATTAATGTACTGTTCCAGAGACCCTCATGTTCAACTAAGATGACCTCACATTTAGAGTTCCAGAGCATGGTTTAGACAGGATCCATTATTCATCAGAGGTTAAATCATATCCCACACAGGACTGAAGATTTTAAAATCCCCAAAGACTTTCAAGGGGTCATAGTGGATGGCACTCAAAGCATGAATCCTTTCTATTCTTACTTTGAAGAGCATTTCTCACATTTTCTGACAGACTATCTAAATATCTGTATCCTATTAGCATAGAGTGCACTGCAAAACAAATGTGTTGTAATAAAATTCCATGTTCTTGGTTTGTTTTTGAAGTTCCTCGTGTGACATTTTGTCTTACATTTACTTGTTTAGTTAATGCTTCTGAAAGAATGTGTTTTTTGGACACAAGACACTTCACTTTTTGGATAAGTAGCATGGTGACTACAACCACTAAAACAACACGTTAAAAATACAACTTGAACCCCCAGTTTTTTGCCATACTACATTTTCTTCAGGCTTAGATCGAGGTTATCACCTACAGTATGTCAACCATGTGTTAGCATCTTTGCATTTGTTTGCTATATGTCAGGTTTTTGCATCTGAACATAACATTTAAAAATGTTGGCTGAAATCTGCCACTGCAAAAAGGACTCCTGCAAACTTAAGAGAGCTTGAATGCATAGCAATGGATGAGTGGCAGAAACTACCAGCAGATGGATGCAAGAAGCTTAGATGGCTACAAGAAACATCTAGAAGCTGTCTCTGTTGCCAAAGTTTCTGCAAACAAATATTAGTGAAGGGTCCCAATAATCATTTGCAGTGTACATTTTATGTCTATATTTTTCATTTCTATATGAAAAATATTCATTTCCTACTATATGAAAGCTGTTTTTGAGCCTGTTCAATACATTACATTTTATTAAATATTCTGATTATACAAAATGGTTTATATCATGCCCTGTATCCTGTCCCCCTTGTTCTCTCTGTTGCTTGTGTAATCTTACCTCTCATTACAGCCCTCATGTGGATCACCCCAGGTGCCTCTCGTCTGCTCCCTCACGTGCCCTGTATAAAGCATCATTCAGTCCTGCACTCCCCAGTCCAGTCACTGATGTTACTATCTGCATTTGCTCTACACTGTGCCATGTGCCCGAACCTCCCTACCCTGTTTTGATCCGTCTCATTTGCCCTGCCTGTATTGTAGTTTCCTTAATGAAGCCCCTTCACGTTTTCCCCCATGCCTGCCTTTGCCTCCGTCCTTGCCCTTGAGGTGACAGGTTGTTTGCGTTTATTTCTGAAGATATTCTACATTTTGTACTTAGAATTGAGGGGTACCAATAATCCTGACCAGGATTGTACAACATTTCATAACAAATAAGTTGCAGCTTGAAAACTAACATCAGAATTTCAAAACTTTAAAGAAAAATAATAACTCATCATCATTGTACCACTGCTTTTCTTGATAGCAGCATGCTGTGTAGGTCAAACCCTATATCCAGCTACATGCTCTAGCTTGTTCTCTGTTATCCCTAGACCAGGGGTGACTAATCTTATCCGCAAAGGGCTGGTGTGTATGCAGGTTTTTTGGTCTGCTGTTCAAACCCAGGTGTGAGGAGTCTTCAGCGAATCAGTCCTCTAATTAGTAATCTAATTAGGGAGTTGCAGCGAAAACCCGCATACACACCGGCCCTTTGCAGATAAGATTGGCCACCCTTGTCGTAGACGTTGCCAAGCCAATGTGGGGAATGAACTCCCACCTCCTTCCTGGTGAGCCAACCAGGTGACATTATTCTAATATGCCCAAACCACTCAGGTGACTCATCTTGATCTGAAGCAGCAGCAGCTCTATTTTTTTTAAAACCCTACAGAGAAACCTCATTTCAACCGCTTGTACATGTGAAGTTTTTCTTTCAAGGCTCTTTCAAGGCTCATGACTATAAGTGAGGACAGGGACACAGACTGAGGAGTGAACCATGAGCCTCATCTAACATCTTAACTTACACCAACACAATCCTCTGCAGTACTTGCAGAACTGCAGTCACCAAACCAAGCTGGCTGTCATTGTCATATAGCCTCATATAGCCTTGTGACTAAGATCCCCAGGTACATAATCACCTTCACTATAAAGTCCCCCCCATGCTCTTTTCAGGTGAGGTAAGAGAAATCTATTATTTTCTGACAGAGTTCCATAGCCTGAGAGTTGAAGGTGCTAATTTTGTTCCCCACTTCTTCACACTCAGATGTGTGCTGGAGGTCCTGGTCAGATGAAGCTAAAAGAATTAAATCAGCTGAAATGAGCAGAAACATCATTTCTATTTCCCTGTACATGATGCCCATCCAGCCACAGCTAAGATTTGATAACCTGCCCATGAATACTAGAAACAGGAGTGGATAGAATACTTGCTTACTATGCTTATATGAATAGCTGTCATATTTTTCAACAATGAAAAGTAGTACAGCGTGTGGTAGCTGTCTGCATCAATAACAAAAGCTTTATCTTACACTATATGTATAAATAGAAAAGTTCTGATATGTTGAATATAGCACGATACATATTATAGAATAACACTGCAGCTAGAGGTTAAGTAACACCCCTGATTAACACCCACTTAAAATAGATTTGATTTTGTGCCAACAATGCAGACAGATTACTGCATTCAGTGTGGCCTGCAATCGACATTGTACCTCCTGAATCCTAGGTCTGACCATAGGGTGGAGTCTCCTCTTTATTTGGAAGTTTCCAACACTGGTGTTCCTCAAAGTATTCTTCCACTGCTCTATATAATCTCCTGGGAATATCAGCACCACTGTACTCTGCCTAAGCATAGACTAAGAAGGTCTCATCTCCCCCTAACGAGACAACAACGGTTTATCTAAAACATTATTAGGGCCTGCCAAATGTCACTGTCCATAGCCTCTCCAAACTCCTCCCATGCTGGGATTGCCCCCAAGGCCTCCTTCTTCAGCTAGACAGCCTCCTTCACCACAGGTGTCCAGCAAGTCCTAAAGTAATCCCCGAATCAAGCACTAACTGCTCTCTGGCAACAGGCCTTTGCAGCCACCGCAAGGAGGAACGTGGTGCATGCAGATCAATGTCCTTTACCTCAATCAGTACATGGGAGAAGATTGTGATTTGAATTCATGTCATACTGAAACTTCAGCCAGACATTCTTGTTATTAGCATGGTGTTTGTTATGGACAATCCATAGTTTGCACAGACGTCCAGTAATAACTCTCTACTTGTTTCATCTAGGAGGCTATTCCCCTCCAGGTGCCCCAATCATTCCACCCCAAATGAGCGTCAACATTAAAATCTCAGGCCCTACTCAAAGATCAAGCTCCAGGTAATATAGCTCTGTTGATTGGCACACAAACCCCTACACCATGCTCAGGTCATGATCTGAACTGAACTGAAGAAAACTACAGTACATACTGAGATAGTTAAAATAGTCAATGTATCATGTCCAGCCCTCCCACCTGTGTGATCCCCTCGCTGCCACTCCGGCATGCCTCTAAACTTGCTGCGCCTAGGGCTCATTAGTCTTGCCTCCTGTTCCTGCCCTCCTGTTAAACAGCCACATTTGCCTTGTGTTTGCTCCTTTGTTAGTCATGTATATTAGCATTTCTCAGTCCTGTGCTCCCTGTCCGACCATTGCTGCTTGTCAGCATTTGTGAACCTGCCCTGTGTTCATTAATACACATGTTGCAATAGAGCCTGCATCTGGATCGTGACACACTGGAGTAGGATTCACAAAGACAGTATAAGTGAAAAAATGTGAAACACAAGTGAGATTTCACTATTAAAGACATGCAGCTGAGATGTTAAAGCACCTGGAGGAGATTTTCTAATTATGATAATCAATTGTGGCAATCAGCATATTGTCACAGAACAGGATTACTATGCTTTTAAATGCCCCCTCCCTGCCAATACTCATGCATAAAGGTGAGATTAAAGCCATTTTATGTCAGATTTGACAGCACTAATGTATCATGCTCTTTCAGTGTTCTCACTTTATGAAGAATTTCATAATTAATATCAGTTTCGCCTTACACGCTCTGATGAGAAATTATAGCTTTGCCATTTATAAACATCAGATTTTATGGGGTGGAAATGAAAAGCAGTCTTAGCAGGCCAGAAAACTAGATATAGGTGTAATTTTTTCCCCTTTTAAATGACTGGGTTTCTCCTGCTGGTTCAGGAAAAAAAACTGATATTTTAAATTTGATCTAAAAAGAATCTGAATGAATATCACTGAGGCGATTGAATATAAACTTTTAATGTACATTTCTTTTTAAATCAGAGCACTCTTTGACACTAATTTTAGAAATATTTGAAGGTGATTTTACAATAGGTACTGCAGGAGAGTCAAAAAACTTGAAGATGTTTTGCTAATGGCTTCCAAGTAAAACAAATTCAGAAAAGAGTGCTGTTCCGGAAGCTGAGAATGAGAGATAATAATGGCAATGAGAACTAACAGTGTCT